TAATTTTTAGTTGTGTTAGCCTGTCGGCAATGTCAGTACAGGATTTCGATTGTGTAACGCAACCAAAAATTGGCTGTTGTAGCCAATTAAAAATGCTATGCCATATTTAACCATCTAATTTGCTGCAGCAGCCAATTTTTTCTTTCAGTGTAACATTCGCAAAAAACATCCTGCGCGTAGCTGAATGCTCTTTGTATTTTATGTTTGTAATTTGTGGGCCACTAGTGAATTTATAAATTTGCCACTAAAATTTTAGTAACAAAAACTATATTAAACTTGAATTAGCACTTGAGTGAAATTTCACCCACAATAGTATTCCACACTGTTAAATATATAGTGTCAAATTTAACCTAATGTGAGTCGCCACTGCTCCTACTAAATATATCGTTATTTTTTACTAAAATGATAATTAAATTTGACATAATATAATGTTAAATTGATATTGTATAGTGTCAAATATAACCATTGTTTTAGTAAAAAATAATGATATTATTGAGTAGGAGCAGTGGCGATTCACATTAAGTTAATTTGACCCTATAAAATTTAACAGTGCAGGGTTAATTTACGCGTCGATATCATGTACGCGTTGCAAAGAATCGGATAGATGCGCAGTGTTGCTTTAATTTTAATTTTTTCTACGAAGAAGATGAAAGTTTGCCTACAGTGTTGTTGAAAATTTGTTTCTGTTGCTGTAGTTTTCTTTTGAGCATCTCATTCTGCTGCCTCAGGTATGTGACATTAGTTTTCAAAGTGTTACCAATTTCGGTTAGTGAATTAATAAACATTGCCCCCTGCTTCAAGATGGACACCTTCGACGCTCTGTCATTGCCCGCAACCGCTGGCACCTGCATTCTTAACTGTTCGTAGGATTCTTTCATGTTTATTCGACGTTGTCGCTCCATATTATTATGTAGCCGCCTTTTCTCCGTATCCTCAAATGAATGTCGCTGTAATGCGCACTGTCGCATCGAATTTTGATACTGACATGATGTTGTGAATGGCTGTTCAGGTTGTTGATGATCTGAATGATTCTGAATGCGAGTACGTTTCGGAGCGGGACCAGATCGATTGGCCCTTCGTTTTGAGGGACCCGGTGGTCTACCACGAGGTCGGCGAGAGACAGGGAGCGCATCTTCGTCCGAGTCTTCGTATTTTTCTTTGCGTTGGGATTCCAAATCAAAGCGTGCTATCTGCTTTGCAAACGATAGTTGCTTTTTGCCAGTTTTGACTGACACAACATCAATGATTGCCTCTTCATCTTCTGCAACAGAATTGACGGATTCGTTTGTTAAACCAATGATATGAGCGCAAAGATATTATGTTGCACGTCAAACAATATACATCGCGTAAATAGCTTAAACACATAAATGTCACGCTAGCGTGATGCAGTAAATAACTTAACAGCATTATGCATAATATTGTTAATTATTAATAATGTAATTCGGATAATGAAGTGAATATATTCCTCCATTACAACATTAAACATACAACATGTAACATTTTTTTAAATTAGCTTGAAACTTATAATTCGTAGATTGTTTATGAGTACAAAAATGAAAAATGTCTACAAAAAAATCTAGCAATTGGCATTAGTAGGATTTTCACAAACTGCGTCATACATTATGAAAATGGTTTTGGCAATCGAACCATTCTGAAGAATAAATAGAAATTCATATAATTATCAATTGTTATATATGATATATAAGGTGAATAGCAAATTATATAATCGATAATGCAATCGGGCGAGTCTTTCTCCCGAAATCGCACGGATATGTGCAATAATATTTAAATTTCTGCGGTCGGGTAAGTGCTATAAGTCGCGAAATTGTGATGGAATAAATATCTCAGCTCGAAATGTACATACAAAAATTATAACAATTATATAAATAATGAATTAATAATTGGTAAATATAAATAAAAGTAATCCAAATAATAATTAGAAATAAATATATATTTTGTACTTCAAATTTTATTTGCAATATAATTGTAATATGTGTGTCTTAGTTTTATAAATTATATTCTAGAAAAAATATTATATAAAATTAACCGAGAATTTATAGATATTATAATATACATACAAATTTAAGAACTACAGGTATAATAATACATACAAATTTAAAAGATATTCAGATAAACTCTTAATTATTGTAACCTTCTGTTACGTAAATAATTTTAAATTACCATAATAAGGCATAATATTTTTCCAAGAAAAAAACATTATAAAGCGTTGGAAAAAATCCCTTTGAGGAAGAAATCAGAATTACTAACACTGTAATAATTCAGGTCGTAAAAGCGAAGGATAATCGACAGCGAGTTTTTTGGAGACCATGTGGCTAAGGAGGCGTTCTGAATGACATACGAAACCGTGGGCGTTTCTGCAAACTATGCCATTCTCGGCGCCTGGCACAATTGATGGAAATCCGGTTGGTCCGGATTCCTCGTATGGATGCAACCGCGAACACTCTCGACAAGGGCACTTCCGTAATATGGTTCGTTGTCATATTCACGAGCATGTAAGAGAGAGATTAACTTCGCCTCGCTATTTCTCCCAGCTCTAACCCGTTCGCGTCTCTGAATTGTAGTATAATTCCATCGCAACGATCATTTCGCATCCGCCGAGCGGTTTATCTTATCTTTATTGAGTCAATTCTCTCGTTTGGTATTCGAGATGATTCATATGTAATAAAGCACAATAAGTCGTTATTATTAACTTATTATGTACTCAGTGTTTCTGTGTGCTTCCCCGAGTCACGATTGCCACGCGTCGAAAATGTTTTCAATCCGTTTTTTCGGTCATAAAATCCGCGAGATCATCCGATCTCGCGAACATCGTAATGCTTTTGCCAATCAAAAAGTTTACGAGGAAAAATCTCGCCAAGACGTGCTACATATTATAATTTTCGTCGGTTCTAATGAACTTACTGAGAAGCTCCCTTCTTCCGTGTCAAGTTTTATCGGTAATTTTATGCTACAATCTTGCGTCCTTCGTTAGCCGCAAGACTGCCGTATGCACGCAAGAACGTCACGCAGCTTCGTGCATCTCTCCCATTTATAGCGTAATAATGAGAGTTTGACAAATAACAATGTTTACCGGCCTTCAGAGAAAATACACTAATAGTAAGTATTATACTGAAATATACATTTAATCATATTAAATTTTTTGGTCATTTTCTCTAACTTAATAAATTCGATCACTCGCATTATGAAATATTATTGAAGCATTAAACATACTGTTAAATTACGTGACAACATCATTATTGCACTGAGAAAAAAGTGCTGTTGATTCAATTAAAGTCTTTATTACGGGCTGTCACTAACATAAATGATTAATTCATTTATATTTTTATTGACGTAAAGGCATAAATTATTATTTCAATAATCAAGGCTTTTATGTCAATAAAAATATACATAAATTAATTACTTACGTTAGTAATAGCTCGTAATATAGACATTAATTGAATCAATAACATTTGTTTCTTAGTGTAGGTATTTAATTGTTTAAAAATATTTATATGCATATATGTGCTTACATTTGAACTTTGCTAATTCTATGTACAGCAACTTCTAGTACGCACTAATCTCGTGTAGTTACAGAGTTCGTTATTAACCCTTACCGTACCATCTACAATTTGATGCCTCATCCATATACCATCACTTCAAATCTCTTCGTGTTTTCACCTCTTCAAAATAATTTAAAAAATCTCTAAAAATTCACCAACATACTTTCAACTTTCTAGAATAAATATTGACTCTTTATTTTAGAAAATAATAAAATGTATTAGTATAATTTATAATTACCGAAAGACTCAAAGAAACTTGCACGAACAGGAATCGCTCGGTCACTAGTTACCCATATTAGTACGGTAAGGGTTAAGAATCAATTTTTCGTTGTTATCGGAGGTGAGCCACGAGAGATTGCATTCGCGTGGATACACCTAGCGTCACGGGGAAATGCGCGTTAAACTTTGCCATTTAAAGACGAATTCAAGCGCTATTCGTTTAGAGCTCCCAGCTTCCAGCGTGCATACCCTTTTTGGCAGCGCTCCATAGGTGCCGTAACATTTCAGCCCGGGCTCATAAACGAGGACAAGCGGAAGGAGACACTCATCGAGGCACGAGGAAGAAAAGCGAGACGTCTGTCGGCCTCGCACGCGCGCGCCTATGCACGTGCACGAAAGCGGCCTCGCGCGTCGGGGCGCTTCCACGTGCTTGATGCATTCGGACATGAATCCCAGCCGAATCTGGCCCGGGGCCAGCACGTCGTCTCGCCCGCGAAAAGGCGCGAAACGTCTAAAAATAACGATGCAACTGTCCAAGTTAGTAGGCGAGAGGCTCTGATTTATTCTCACGCGCCCCTATCGCCGGCGTTATTCGCGATCCGTAATGAGACATCAAATAATAAACACTCGGTAATCACTCGGTGTACAGCCACTTAATGGGAATTACTTAAAAGATAAATGCTTGATAAGTTAAAGTCGACAGTTGAAGGAAAGGAATCATTATATTGTAAATATTATTGTTAAAAGTACAATATCGTCATTTTTTTTTAAGTATTATTTAATTGCGCAATTAAATTACTAAGTGCTTCTTTCCGCATATCATAATGTAATGTCTATTATCTATTTAGAATTCCTACAAAAGGCAGGTCAAATGATAAAGCTCTTTTTCCCTTTCTCTTTCCTTTTTTTACTGTCACTGACATTATGATGCGAATATCTCGGTCGAGGGAGTGCCTCAATTTTTCGTGACGTTCCACGATGTTCGCGATATTTAATTAGCACAGTCACGTGTGTTCCAAGTGTACACGTTTGTATGTGTGTGTGTGTGGGATAAGCGAGGAGAGCGAAGCTCGAGCGTGACTCGCGTGTGACGGGAACGCGGAAGTCGCGCGTGCAATTGAACGTCAGAATATATGCTAATAATCATACGACTCTAGGCGTAGCGGAATTTGTTTGTATTGGTATCCGTAATCCGTATCGTTGTGACGCACGCACGCGGAACAGACGTCGCGAATGCGCGATTATGCCGCACGCGGAATGACGTTCTAACGCCAGTTAAGTTATACGTAACGATTAATTCATTAACCGGTAATCGTCGACCGACTTCTCCCCACAATAAATGTTGAAGTACTAATTATGGATCTCTCGAGGACGTGTGATAAATAACTGAGAACGTTAGCTCGCTGCAAAGTCAATTTCTCCCGGCGATCTGCATAAAGATAGCTAATAAGTGGAAAGAAACGGTTTTATATCTATATGGAAATAGTTTTGCTATAAAATATTTATAAAAAATTAATTTTTTTAAATTAATACATTTTTGATACTTCAGCAAAACTTCTTTCCATGTAAAGATTTCGTTAGCTATAGACAAAATAATTATCTAGAACGCTCAAGCATGATGTTGTAAAAAATTGTAATATCCTAATAAACATCTTGAATGTCGTGTATAGTTGTTTTCATAGTCCAATAAAAATATTTTCAGAACTGTATCTAGCTAAATGTTTACAGACTTCGGTGAAACTGTTCTTTTCGTGATACCATATATCTGTATACGTATAGCGTTTCTACCAAATCGTGGCAATAATTCTTTCCAAATTACGGATGTATAATCACTTTTATTTATCGATTACATATTACCGACTCACTTGCACGCGCAGCATAACGCACATACGTTTACCGGTAATGATTTACAATTAACGTTACATAAAACATTAGCATAATTATACAACAAAAGAAACACATTGCAAGGCACTGCGTGCTCGAGTAATCCACCTGACTTGGTGAAAAGTTTCTCAACCTATCTACCCTTGTTGATACGTTCCGTATTAGATCCCATTCTCTCTCCCTCTTTCTCTTTCTTTCTGTCTCTCGTCCAACTCGTCTCGTTTTACGTCTCGTCCTCGTCTCGTTTTACAAATATCGGTCTTACGAATGCATTGTGTCACACGCGCCGTCGCGAAGAGGCTGTAGAAGTGGTCGGCGGTCCGTCGCGATGCAAGCACGTCGGTGCAGCGTGCACTTCGATGGAAGAAGGAAGAGTGACGGGGGATCAAGTACTCCGCGAGGCCAGAACGGGGGGAAGGGGGCGGTAGACGGTAGAGAGAGGGGCAACGTCAATTCGCGGCAGCACGTGCACGGTGCAGTCGCGTAAGAACGACCTTGGGGGTCAGTGCTCTCCGCGTAAGCAGGCCATAGTAGTACGTCGACGCGATCGATCGTCTCCTCTCTCTCTCTCTCATTGAAGTATAGGCGACGCGGCGTC